ATATTTTAATTTTTTAATTTAAATTTTCTGTTAGGTTATTTTATTTATTTTATTATATTTAATTTAAATTTGAATGTTTTTTAGAACTTAAATGATTGGATTTGCTTTCAAATATTTGATCTTATTCTTGTAATCCTATTTCTGTAGGAGCCCACAGTTTAGGATTGAATTATTATAGATGATGATGAATATAATTTGATTATTTATGAGGTCAATTATGTGCTCACAAGCTCCAAATTTTATAAGTTGATGCTGCAAGTTGTGTACAAGGAGTTTTTTTTCCTCCCTTCTCCATCAACTATGGTATTAGAGCCCTGCGCCATATACATGCTTCACTTTCAACCCTTTATTTATATTGTTTTCTGAAATTGAATCCTAGAGCTATAAATTACATCTCACTTTGCACATGCTCACATTGTACCTGACAAAGCCACACTAATTAAAGTCATTAGTCGAACCCATGCAGCTCACTTGACTAGTTCCTCTTTCACATGTGTACCGTTGGATTAAGAAATCAATGACTAGGAAGTTGCATTGGGGCAAACCGATATGTTCGAAGCTGAGAAGTTGGCTTTTGAGAGGATTGCTAAGTTGCAAATAATAACTCAAGAAGAGTTGTTGAGAATAAGCAGAGAATTTGAAAGGAACACTTAAAAAGTATTGGAAAGATGCTAGAGAGCGAGTGAATCTGTAATCAAGAAGGTTGTTTTAGAGTAGTTATGATGCCAGCTTAACATCAATAGTTCACACTCACACACATCATGCTTACGTAAAAACATATAAGGAAGAATATGAGGTTCAAATTAAGATTTTTTATAGTTTAAATGAGGAGAGTGCTTCTATTCTATTGAGAGATTCAAAAATATTAGAGGGCTAAAGAGAGAGGGGGTTCAAGAAAGCATCATCTTCTTTCTTTTATTGCTGTCTAGTTCTTTCATAAATGAAACTTGTGTGTTTCTTACTCTAAAAATAGGATTCTAGATTAATAGTCTCATTTCTAGATCTCAACTTTCTAACTTTTGTAATGGAGTTTGATTTGGCAAAGAGAAGTATCCAGGGGTGGGAAATCTGGCGCTAGCAGGCGGAAACCTGGCACTAGACCAGGCGCCTCAATGCCAATGGGTCGCCCTAGCACCCAACCAATGTTTTTCTAGATGGAAACTCGACATCAACAAGCGAAAACCCGACGCCCTTCCAACATTCAAAAAATAAAGTGTTCGACAACTCGATGCTCGGGATGGGCGATCCAGTGCCTAGAAGATAGACTATAGAACCCAAGCATGTGCAAAGAAAACGCATAGGAAGAACACAACAACGCTCATATTGCACCATGTACCTGAGCGCCAGGAAACCTAGTGCTTGGAAGCAACACCCCTATAGTTGTAATCCATTATGCACTTTGAAACTCTTAAGTTTTGGGTTTCTTCACTGCGGGAAGGGCAGTCGAACAACGTAAAATGGGGCGCGACTTGTTTTGTGAATTTCTCTTGTGCAATCAAGAAAGGATTGTTCATGAATTACAAGATTGTAAAAATGATTTGAGTGGAGTGTAGTGTAATATGTACATTTTTCCTCATTTCATAGTGAATTTCTTAGTGTGGTGTGACTTCGTGGTTTTTTCCTGTTCTCGAGGTTTTCCACATTAATTTTTTATGCTCTGTTGTTTGGTTTTTTTTGTTTATGCACTTCTTTTCAATTGTTTGTTTCAGATCACTAGACTCGTCGTTTTCTTGCAATATCCCACAATAAGTGGTATCTAAGTGGGGTTTCTTGAAGATCTTTTATTTGAGTGGGCAGTGACCGATGAAATAAGTATAAGGTGAAGAAGTTCAATAGTACAAACTTCGCGTTCTGGAAAATGCAAATTGAAGATTTACTGTATTAAAAGAAACTGTATTTGCCACTAAAAGGAATAACCAAGAAGCCTGAATTGATTACTCTGGAGGAATGGAAAGTGCTTGATCGAACAACTTTAGGTTTGATATATCTTTCACTTTTCTTATATATTGCTTTTAACATTGTGAATGAGAAAACTATGTTATATCTCTTGGCTGCACTAACAAGGATGTATGAAGAATCTTTGGTCTCAAATAAAGTTTTTATGATGAAGAGATTGTTCAATACAGAGATGATGGATAATAGTTCAGTGATGGAGCACTTGAATAACTTCAACACTGTGACAAACTAGTTGTGCTTTACGAACACATCAAGTTCAATGACACTGTCAAGGCACAATTACTCCTATCTTCATTGTTAGACAGATGGAATGGATTGGTCACTGTGGTGAGTGACTCTTCAGATAATATAAAGAAACTTTGATGATATTGTGAGGTTAGTGTTGAATGAAAAAGTCCGCAAGTAGGTGAGCGGTGAAAATTCAAATTCCGTGTTGTTGAAAACAGAAGAAGTAATTTGGGTAGGAGCACAAACATAAGTATGCGCAAGGTTAGAAGAGGAAAATCCAGGTCAGAGAAAGAAAAAAACAGAAGAGGAATTGGAATACGAGAATAAATGTCACTTTAAGAAAGACTTCAAAGCTCTCAAGAAGGATAATGATGGAGGACTAGATAAAAAATCTCTCTACAAATGCCTCCACAGGTGAAATCTAACGTGATTCCCTAGTTTTGTCGCTTTATAGTACCAAATCTTGGATAGTAGATTTTGGTGCATCTTTTCATGCTTGCCACAACAAAGAAGTGTTTAAAAATGACACTTAGAGTAATTTAAAGAATGTGTATTTGAGAGCTGACAAGGCTTGCACTATTATAAGAAAGAGTAATGTTGATATTAGGTTGTCAAATAGATCAGTCTGTAAGCTTAATCAAGTTAGTTATGTTCCATATTTAAACAGAAGTTTGATCTCGGTGAGTTAACTTGTAAGGTTAGCGTATGTAACTATTTTCACAGATGATTAGTGGAAGGAGACCGCAGGGGCAATGGTGATAGCTTGGGCCAATATTGAAGGCGCTCTTTACCTAATCAATGAGATGGTTGAATCATTTGATAGAGCTAGAACAAAGGTTTATACGGGTATCTCAGATACCCGTATCTGGCACCGTAGGCTTGGCCATATGAGTAAAAAATATATAAAGTTCCTACTTTTTAAGAATAGTCTTCATATTTTAAAGTCTATAGATCTAGATTTTTATGAAAATTGTGTATATAACAAGCAGAAGAAACATACATCAAAATTTGGTCAAATTTGAAGTCCAAAAAGCTAGAATTAGTTCATATTGATGTATGGGTCATATTTCAATTCAATCTATTGGAGGTTTTCCTTATTTTGTCACTTTCATTGATGATCACACTAGAAAGGTATGTGTATACTTCTTGAAACATAAATCTGATGTATTTGAGGTGTTTAAGAAGTGGAAGGTCATGGCTGAGAATGAGACAATTTTGAGACTGGAATGTCTTAAATCAGATAATGGTGGCGAGTATCGTGATCAGAGATTCGGGAACTATTATGCATCAGAAGGAATCATACATTAGTTTACAATTTCAAGCACACCACAACAAAATGATTTTTGCTAGTACATATGCAATCTACTCATTGCCAAGTCCAAAAAAACATGATTCATGGTGTATGTTAATAATGACAAAATTAATAAAATTACTATAAACTACATATTCTCTATGCCTAAACTAAATGATATGCTTCACATGATACTTTGATCACTGTACATTTTAAAAATTAATTTGCAATGGGATAATCAGATTTGGATACATCTTTGAGATGAATGTAAGACAACCTTCAAGAGGTCTGATATTTATATAAATGGTCGATTATGCTTTTTTTATTTATTACATCCGCGATATTCAGGAGATTGATGAATCATGTGAATAGACTATGTTTCTGGTGATGTACTAAATATATATTATTTATAGCTCTACTGAGTTTGATAATCTGGATCACTCGAGTTGAGTTTTATCTAATAGATGAGATGTACCAGATAGATTTTGTAAAATAACCATTGAGGCATCTTGTGCAACAAAATTTTTGTTTAATGGGTTGCCCAATACCATATTATATATTAAATATGTCAGTTTTCTTTTTTTTTTTCCCCCGGGAAGATATTATGAAATTGTTAAGTATTACCTTTATGTTTACATCAACCTTTCTCCCTACACTGATTATTAACTGGGGTCTGAAATAAATGTCTACGAAATCTATTAAGATGTTTGATTAGAAAAAATCTAGGCAATTGGGATATACATCTTCTTACTACTGAATTTTCACATAACAGCACCATACACATTTTTTCATTTTTATTTTAATGTTCTAGCTTGAAAGATAATCATGGTATTGTGCCCCTAGACTATTTCTGAATGAGAGAAATTTTAGTATGCCTCTACTCCTCGGGGGCTTTTAAGAAAAGAATTTAATAAAAGATTTCAGAATTTTTGTAACCCTAAAATTCATGTTAAGATTGTGTAAATCTGTGATTCTTTCTTCTTACTCTCAGTGATGCCCCTCCTTCAAATGTCTCTTGTTACATTTCTTTCCCCGCATTTTCAGTTACTCGCAGCAAACATATAGCCTCTGTGTAGGTGTTTCTTCCTTGTAGAACTAACTTGCTTCACTGTGATACTTGAATATGTTCCTGTCATGTTTATTTGTGAAATTTACTTGTTAATAGCATGGAATGTAGCTCTGTAATTTGTTCAGAAAATCTTTTTATTTTAGTGGCTCTGCTATGATTAGTTCGACTATGTTCCTGTCATGTTTGTTTGTGAAATTTACTTGTTAATGTTAAGGTATGTAGCTCTTTTCTGAGAACTCCTGGGATAAATTGTGAAAAAAAAAAGTAATTTGTTCAGAAAATCTGTTTATTTTAGTAGATCTGCCATGATTAGTTGGAGGTGTCTAACAATTTGTTTGACACTTCGAAATTCCAGTGTACTTAGAGCAGTGAATTTTTTTTTTTTGTTTTTGTTTTGAAAAATCTGATTACCCAACATTCTCACCTTTTTGAGTTATGCAATTACTCTGGATGCAGGGAAGGAAATTTACCTGTTACTTTCCTGCAAAGTACCTTGTAAAGAAGCTAAATCTTGCAAGTGAGGCAGAGGTTAGTTATTATTATTATTATTATTATTTTATTTTATTTTTTTGCTTAAAAGTTTTTACTTGCTGTATTTTTTTAATCATTTATTAGTTGGTACCTTGTCGAAGTACTTATGAAACAACTGATGTCTTTAGCTAGGGGCAGAACCGGTCTGTTTTTTAAGGAGGGCAAACTGCTCCCTTAGACCTAGCGTGGGAGGGATAGGTCAATGAAGGACAAAGTGATATTTAACTAGAGGCAAAACAATGTTTCGGAAGAGGCAAAAAGACCAAATTGACCTCCTATATAAGTAAAAAAAATTAATTTTAGGTGAATTGCCCCCTCCGACTGTAGATGGGTTCGCCTGTCTTTATTCTATAGAATCACATCTTAACTTTCTACAATTTTTTTTTTTAATGATTTAGGGAAGCTGTGAATGTATATGTTACTGTTAGTCATCGTTACCATGTTTGTGTATGGTGTGTGCGTGCACCCATGCGCGTGATAGCCGATTATGAATGTCTTCTATGTCCTGGTTTCTGCTAAGCAAGTATTAATACATAAGAGTCTATTAGTTAGGCTGATATTGAGGAAAATCAATAAAACTTACTACGATTTGCAGGTGGAAATAGCATGCACAGGAAAGCCTGTGAATCCAGCACTGTCACTGCATGACCTAACTGAACAAATTGCTTCAGGTGGGGAAGAGTTCAAGCTTCAGTTGCCACTTGAAATCTGTCTCAACCTGAGCTCCTTTTTTCTTTTTAAATTTAATTTTTTTCCCAGGGCAAAAGTTTGCCTTTCAGGAAATTTTCAATTATGGGATTTTCCCCATTTGGCTTTTTTTATTTTATTTTATTTTATTTATTTATGTTTTTGGTTGAATTCAGCTTGATCGAATATGCCACAAAGTGGTGCTCTATTGAATATTTACAGATATTCCTATTGTGATCTATTGGGATGAGTTGAATTTGAGGCCAAAATACACAACATAAATATTTTCTCCCTTGTTTACTTCATTTCTTCGTTGATATATATAATTTTATTATTTCTGGATGGATTTCATATTATTTTTTTTGTTGCATATGAAGATTTAGGGTGATATAAATGTAAAATAAATAAATAAAACAAAACATAGGTGTAAGATATGTAAATACATAGAATTTGGGTGGTATGTATGCAAATGTCCCCCACTTTTTTTTTATTATTTATTATTTTTTTTTGGAAACTTGGTTCTCTCATTTATGCCAGCACGAGCGGCTTATGTATAAATTATTTTCTAAGTAATCCAAACGGAGCTGAAAAACTGAGAAGCTGTAGTTGTGCCAAATAGAGCCCATAACCGTGATAAATTACTGTTTAAATCTTTAGCTGTGTCCCTACAATCTCTTTTGCATCTGTAAATGTCTCTTTTCATGTCTCTACTTTATTTTATTTTGGAAAGTTTGTCAAAATATAAACTCGATGTATTCAGGATTTGGATTAAATAAATCTTGACATATTTATCAATTAAATCAACACATCTTTTTCGTTTTTTCATTGTTTTTAAATGCTTGCTTTGTAGGTGATAAATTCACCTGCCCCGTAATATTCAAAATTTAGGATATATGTGATATATTTTAGTTTTTGGGATAATTACATGCAGACCACCCGAAAGATTGATATTAGATTTTTTTGAACCACCGAAACAACGTATTTATGTGCGGCAATCAAATTATTGAAAATTTGATAGAAATGAAAAACATTGGTCGGGGTCATACCAAGAGTTTTGATATGAAGTGAATTTTTGAAATGGATGAAAGAGGGCGGTTGATTTGTAAATAGCATGTTTCCCGTGGTTTTTATGTAATTGCCTCTTTATTAATTTAGAGAAAATACGCCCAAAAGTTTATTTTGGTTTTAAATATTTTTATTGTGGATGTACCATATATTGTCAAGTGATCAAGGGATAATTACATATAAATCATTAGAAATATTAATATTTATAAATTAAATACTAGTGTGACTTTTTTTGAACTACCAAATTGATGTACTTACAAGCCCTACATCAAATTATTGACAATTTGTTAAAGATCAAAAATGTGTTGGGATTTTATCATGATTTTTTATATTTGAGTGGGAATTTGAAAATTGGATGAAAGAGAATGGTTGGTTAGTAAATAACAAGTTTTGGGTGGTCTATGAGTAATTACCCTGATTAAAGTGTTGATTAAGCCCAAAGAGGTGTCCTAATCAAATAGCCAAAGAGGATATCTTGCATTGGGCTTAAAGTTTAAAAGCCTCAAATTGCCCAACAAGTTATTCTATAACACCTATTACATGAAGGGTTAGATCCAATATCTATATACATATTATGTCAATTTAAATGAATTAATCAGATTTTATTTTGATGTTGATTGAACCATCTTAACATATGGTTGAAGTAAAACAAATTTTTGACTTGAAAGTATGTGAAGACTGTTTATATTTGAAAGTTTATAGAGGCCTGTAAAGAATTTGTGGGTACTCATCAAACTTGTAGAAGTTCAAATGATAATTGCTTTTAGGGGTGTCTACATAAAATACAACCTAATTCCTATATATTTATATATCTAACAATTAAACTTTAGCTTCTTTTTTTAAATATTTAAATTAAATAAAATTTACATTTCACATAAAAATTATTATTATTTATTAAAAATATGCATGAAGATGTATAAATCACTTATAAAAAATTAGTAATAGCAATATTTTTGATATATTATCAATGATTTGAGTGGCATTTATGTAAATATAAAAATTTAGGTGTTAGATATCGAAATATATACATAGCCATCAGGCCAAAAACATAATGGGATTTATGCACATATCACATAATTCTTATGTATACACATATCTAACATCCAAACTTCAAGATCTACTTACAAAACACCCAAATCTTTAACATCCTATCATAAACATCACCAATATCAGCTTTTCCAACCAAAAACATACATTTTCATGCATATATTTCGATATGATTATAACACTAACATATCATATCACTAGATATCAACAATTGAAATTAAATATGTAAACATACAAAAACTGCATGGTAAATACGCAAATCCCCACAAACCAAAACAAATTGCTTAATTCTCAAAATTTCAACATCCCCCAATTCACCAATTTCCATGACACTCTTTGAAAGTGTTCTAAAAATTCAAAAGATTAATCCTCTTCCAAGTTAATGGAATCCTTAAACTTACCATAGAGAATTTTCTTCAGCTCAGCCATTTGAGAGAGAACCGATTCCTTCTCTTCCTCAAGCTTCTCCAGCTCTTTAATGGCATCTTCTTTCATGTTCTCGAGTCTGCTCTCTACTTCTTCCCTCGGCAGGTGAACGAAAACCTCCCCAATTTGGAACCTCACAATATCCTCCTCTGAGAGTATCAGTTCATTGCTGGCATCTTCCAAATTGTCGTTGTTTTCCTACAAAATAAGAGCCGTCGATATTACGTTCAACGTTTAACTCGCGTTGGTGAATAACTCGTCTTCATCAGGCTACGAAGTTTGTATTATACAGGGCATTTACATACATAGCACCCATTTCCGATACATTTACATAGATAATATCTAAAATTTACATGTAAAATACCATTTGCTAAGCACAGAATCAATTTTGCCAAAATAATATTAACTTTCCTACACGATCCCTAAACTGAAGTTCTTCGCAAAGGCCACCAGACAACCAAAGCGGCGAATGGCATCGGTAGCCGGAGGCATCATTTTACAAAAAGCAATATATTGAAATTCGCCCAAATCAAATGAATTTCAAATTCATTGAAAAAGAACTCGAGAGTGAATTTGAGTGGAGTTCTACACTATCTGTCTTTCTTCTGATAAAAATAAAAAAAAACGCAATGCATTCCTTTCGCTGCGGACCAAACAGCCCCTGAGCTAGCAAATGAAAAAGTGTGCTGTGCTATATAGACAAATAAATCAAAACCTATAAAAATATTTCATATGAAATTAAAAGATGTACATAGGAACTTTGTCAAGGTGCAATAAGCACAACTGCAGCTAATGTTACCAAACCACCCGAAACTTGCTATTTACAAATCAAACAGCCTCTTTAAGCCCTGCCCACAACCCAATCTGCCGTTGTATCCCATCTACATCCCTCGTGCTGCTGCAGCCATCCTCTGCCTACCTTCCAGCTGCTATCTCCCCCATTCCAAACCTCTCTGCTGAATCCGCGATCCACAACCTCACCCTACCTGCTGTCCAGCCACCACCCACCATCTTCCTCCTCACCCTGGGTGTTGTGTTGTTGTCGTTGTTGTTTTTGTTTTGAGGATCATGTTATAGTAGTTTCTTGTATTTTGCAATAATCTTTTCAGTTTGATGTGCTGTGGGTTAACTCTAGTATCATAGCCTCTGCTTTTTACATTTATACCCACCCAAATCTTTAATATTATGTCAAAAATTCCACTATTCCAAGTTTTAAAAAGTGAAATACACCTTTTAAAGCATAAGTACGGTGGCATGGTTGTATAGCTTCAAATTTAAATGTTAGATATGTAAATACACAGGATTTCAGTGGTATGTATGTAAATATTCTTTTCTTGGGGCATTTACGTACATAGCACAGAATTCTTAGGTATGTGATCATTCTTTCTTTTTTCCCCTTTTGGGTCCTCAAAATGGCAAACTCACGTTCGGATGATCAAAAAAAAAAAAAAAAAAAAAAAAAAAACCTACATGCAACTAAAAACCATTGCAAATAACCCCTGCTATGATTATCAAGAAAGAACCTTTATAACTGTCACGTTCTATAATATTCACTGAAAAAGAGAGAATTTATGAACTTAACTTTGAATGAAACTTCTAAATACGGTTAGATGAATTAAATGCATGAGATAATTTTTTACGAAGAAATTAATGGGCCAGAGAAAAATTTCACAGTTGAATTCCATTCTCTCCTTTACAATTTTCCCATCTAATAGGATATTCATGTTACTACCCCCTCCTATGGATTTCCTTATAATGCTGTATACAATGGAAAAAGTAAGAAAGCAAAAAAAAAAATCCTAATATTTGATGATGGGAGAATTGCAGCCTGTAAATTTAAGAGAATCTTAGAGGATTCTAAGGAATTTATTATTTTTTTGAGCCCTTCATAGGCTATATATAGAAATTCTGAGATATTTAAATATATAGAGTATTTAATAGTGAAACCATCATCCTTTCCCGTTAGGTCTTGTGTGCGTTCCATTGAAAGCAGATTCTTTAAAAGTTTCACAAGTGATGGTGACTAGCTTTGGAGAACAAATTTCCTTACATGAACATAAGACTTGGACCTCATTCAGTGATTTCTATTATTATTCTTTCAACAGAATTATTTTAGGGATTGGTGAACGTGCATACATGAAATTATATTTCGTTTTAGACAAGCTATTTTCCTGTTTATGATGTGAATCTCAATCATTGTAGAATTTTATATTTCAAGAAAAGTTAAATTATCATTTAGGATGATATAAGCATGCATTTTTATTTTGTATCAAATGTGATTAATCTAAGCTAAAAATGATAGCTTGTCAAATGCGCTCTTATGCGTTTCTTTGTGTACTCGTCCTCGTTCACATTAATGAACCTTTGACCCTAAAGAGTCAAACATCACATTGTCCCTTATTCTGTTACGCACCGGCCTAAGGGCAATTTTGTCCTTGATTAGCCTAAGAGCAAATTAGTCTTTTATTATTTATTATTGTTTAGTATAAATAGACAGTAATAGGTTTGTATGTATGTGATTATTATTGTGAGTCTTAGGTTTAGGGTTTTGGAGAGATTTCTTATGTCTAGAATTGTAGGAATTGAGAGTGATCACCCAACTCTTGAATTGTAGGTGTTTATTGTTGTATTCGTCTTGAGTAGTTTGAAGTTTTAAGGAAAAACATTTGCTTTGTCCTAATTTCTAAAGAAATTCATTTTGATTTCTACGTTGGATCGTATCATATTCATAAACAGATTCACAACTGATAGTGTTATCGTGCATCTATTGTTTAATTTGAGAGGATGAAATTCAACCAATTCTAGGATTCCTTCTCGCTAGGAGATTACAAGAGAGAGGGGGTGTTGTAAAAATATGAACAGAACACTACAATTTAACATGCTGCATCATTCAATGTCTACATCTGTAGTGCTTGCATTTGAATTTCTCAAACGGACAAATACATAGCAAGAATAAAAATTTTGGACGTCCATATCCAATTCCAAATTGAATGGCACCAAATATGGATATAAGCATACTTTTCTAGCCTTGCTTTATTGTGGTGTTGGTTAGTTGGCAGTTTAGGAGCTTAAGCGAGGCAAGGTATCACCTACATGCCTTCCTCTTACTATGTTATTAACTTTTAATCCCTTCTGAAAACGCAAGCAATGTCATTGCAAACTTCTCAAGCGTCTAACATGAGTTTTTCTTTCAATATTAAGAAAATTATTTGTTGTGAGATATGTACTTCCTTGCATAGAAATGAGACGAAAAAGAAAACAAGTAAACACAGATCGTTTACGTGGTTCGATCCAACTGGATCTACGTCCACGGGAGGGAATCAATCAAATATTTCACTAAGGCAAAAGAAATGGAGAATACATAGCTTATACATAGAGATGAGCCCTCATCTTCCTTCTACGACCTCCCTCTCAAGCGACACCTTGATACAAGGCCTCAAGATGCTCTCCTCCTCTCTAGCTCTCTAGCTATTCTCTCCTCCTTTGTGGTAGCTTAAGATCTCTTCTCCCTTTTTTGTCCTAGGCCTCACACCCTCTCTATTTATAGAAGCAAGAGAGTGGTAGGTGAGCGGTAGGTGAGATGTGGTAGGTGAGCGGTA